ATGTTGCAAACAACCCCAAATGGATTTGTGTCTCTTTGTCTGGATCAGGCAACTGCGTACCATGGGTCTTATCTTCAGACACTATGATTTCTGAGCAGTATTTCCCGCAATGTCACTTCTTGCTCAGTAGATGACATCAACTCTGCCAAACATACATAGATTTATGTCTGAATGCATGATTTATGTTTAAAATAACTTCAAGGCATGACTTGTAGGGGTTTATCCTGTGAAATGTTAGCAGTTTCAATACATTTTCAGTGCATTCACATAATATATATTCTTATATGCTTTGAAACCTAAAATCAAAAATGTCAGGTGGGGCCACTTTCTGTTGACAAAGATGATTAAAAATGGTTTTCAAATGACACTAAAATCAAAATAAAAACCTTTGCTAAGATTTTTTTAATTGCTAAGATAAGTTCTAAAAAATAATAACAGTGAAAAGCGTATTTCATCAGACAGATGAGCTCATAGGGTTTTAATGGGGTTATGATAAGATTTGTATCACTCCCTTAAATAAGGTTAAAAATGGCTAAATTCAGCTCTCTTGGAGACTGGTACACTTTCTAAGTCAGGAAGTACAACCAATGCAAAACTAGGACAACCTTAAGTTATCTAAAAAAAATCTTTATTTTATTTAAAAATTCAAACTTAGTGCAGGTACCTTAATAAAAGCATATTTAAAGTAAAAATAGCTGGAGAAGTCAAGTGATGCAACCAGGAAGTGAGGAAGAAACATCACTTAATGAAATGAATAATTTTACACTGTAAGGTTATCTATCAGACGTCTAAACTGTGTATCAGATTAAATATGCTTTGACACAAAAATATGCATGTGATGTCAATGACCCATATATAAAGACACATCTTTTCCTCTATTTGGCCAGAGCTAAGGAACAAAGGTGTCTAATGTGAAAGTGAAGGCTTCATGTCATAAGGCCTTCTTTCAACCAGTCCTGGCTGCCCACCTCCTCCTGATATCTGTTAAGAACATGGGGTTTTGTGTGTGTGTGTGTGTGTGTGTGTGTGTGTGTGTGTGTGTGTGTGTTGACACAGTCTCTTGCAGTCTATCAAGTGGGAGGGCTACATTTTTACAGGCACTCTGTAGAAGTGAATAGCTGCTTTATATCTGTCAGGCCTTACTTGCTAAATATAAATGCATGTACGCATGTCTGTGTGCCCACACTGATAGCTCTAGTGAGTGCATCTGGGCAAAAAATGGACAGATAGGTCTCGTTTTTACCATTCTGTAATTTTCCTTAACAGACTGTGCTATATACTTCTAGGAAAAGAGAAAAAAGTTGCTTTATGGTGCAACTGTTTGCTGCAGTCCCATTCCTAATTGCTGAGAAAAAGAAATGTGTCACCTATTTAAAAAAAAAAAAAAAACTAAACAAAAACATGGATACTAATGATTTACGGACTTAGAGAGGAAATGCTGACCGATACGAAAATTGCACCATTTATGTTTAGATGGATGATAGTTGACTATTCTTCTCCCCCCCCCTCCCCCCCTTTTTTTGTCTCAGTCAAAGTTGATCCATTTAGGAATATGCTAACCATGCTAATGTCCTCAAAGATCAGCTCCCTTCAACAATCCAGGTGAGAATCTGTGCATCTTCCAGCATGGTTTCATACCATGTCACAGTTCAAAAGTAAGATAACTAAGTGGTTATATTTTGGTTACACAGGCAAACTTAGGCTACTTATACGCACGCCGTAATACAATTACATTGTAATTTCAACTAAAATACATTGGAATTCAGTTTAATTACAGGAGAATTATGCTGTTAAAATAAACACACACACAAAAACCCACTGGGAAAAATATCCAGGACCATGGCACAGCAGGGTGAAAAACTACAGAAAATACTAACATAAAGGGTCTTATTGAGGTGATAGAGCAACTTTGTACTTAGGCACAGATTCTCCAGGTTTCTGGAACTGTTTTGGAGGATGAAGCATCGTCGTTCCAACACATTTCCCTTCAGTGGTGTCTTCATGATGGCGGTGGAGAATGTTATTTAATGTTTAACTAAATTCTCCTATAGATGTTCAGTTGAATTGAGATCAGGTGACTGCAAAGGCGATTTCACATGATCATTAATTTCATATTCATCCAACTGTTCAGTGACCCCTTTGTGCCTGCTGCAATATCTTTGTATTGATTTGCTGTGACCCTTCCTTCCAAATGAACTGAAAATTCTCTCAGCAAATAGAGCCACTGAATCCCTTTTTCCTTTAATATTTACTCATCTGCATGAATTAGCAGTGTTTTACTACCTTAAAACATAATTACAATACTATACTAAAATGCACTAATTGACATTTTAACCACTGTGTTCTACTGTACTGTATTTGTTGACTATTAAACTGTTTTTGATGTTTTTAAAAAAACAAAGAACAAAGGTGATTCTTTCTGTCACTGCTGCATTATTAAAACACAGTAAGAAATATCAGTGTTGTCATGTATGAAGATAAAGTTAAAGGAAATGCGACGGAATGAAGAGCGATAACAAAATGTTTGCTCACTTCAGGGGATCTTTGGGGGAAAAGGAGAGAAGGTAGCACACAGAGAGGCTTGATGAACCCGTTCACCTCTTTAACTGTCAGTAATGACTGTTCACAGTCTTTACCCATGCAAGAAAACGACATGAGAAGAAGTATCCAAGATGGGTTTTTTTAATTATTTGGTTTGACATTAAGCTAAGTTGGCCTCAGTGCACACATTTAACCACCTCCTCTGTAAATGCTCACTGTTACTTTACTGCTTACAGTTTAATGACGTTTTAGCAAAGAAGTCTTTCAAATAAAAAGTTCCCTCCTGGTTTTTGTCTCCTTGCAAGTGAAACGTGACTTAAAGCATACAAAATAACCTTCAGTGAGAGTGAGCTTACCGAATCAGTGGAGACAGAGTTCTTCAGAGTGCATTTAGTTATTTATTTTACACGCAATTCATAATTTCCATTGGGTAAAAAAAGAGATTTTTGAACACTGGATAGGTGGTGAGAGAGAAGATGAGAGAAGGAGGGAGTGGTGGTTACTGGTTTTAGTGAACACTACTTCCTTATGCTGTACAGACTGGCTTCCCTTATTCTGCTGCATGATGGAGCAGAGAGACTCTCCACATTTTCTTGACAGGTTGCCAGATTCACATCAGCCTCACCAGGCTGTCTGGCAGTGAACGGTGCTGGTCTCATGCTGGGAACAACTTCATGGGAAGCAAAGAGAACTGCAGGATTGGGAAGTAATACATGTGAAGCTTGCATCATATTTTAGCTGACAGCCTTGTGGAATAAAGTGAAATTAAAAATCTTTGTGTGTTATATAACTCAAAGCATGCAATCCATTCTTCCATCGATGAAATAATGAAGAAGGAGGAATACTTCCATATTCTTTAACTTCACCTCAAATCGACAGCTTAGACACAGCTGGATGCTTCAACAGGACAATGATCCCAAACGCAGATCAAAATCAGTACAGGACTAGATAAAGTAGGCTAGCATTAAACTTCTGGAATGGCACAGCCAATGCCCCCAACTGAACCCTATTGAAAATGAGTAGATTATGGTTAAAAGCTGGGTCTGTGCCAGGAAACTAACTGAGAAGAGTCATTAAATAGTCACCCGAGATTAATGCCAGAAGCCTGCGGATGGCTACCAAAAGTGTCTGGTCGAGGTGCAACTTGGTAAGGGACTCTTAATTAAATATTAGTGGAGGTGTAAATGTGAGCCTGGCCTGCCAACAAAGGAAGAGACGAGGAGGAAAGTGTGTCAGGAGGCATCAAGAGAGAAGGAAACGTATGTGATAGTAGAGACTCTAAATGTAGGGACGATGACTGGTAAAGGGAGGCTGTTGGGTGATGTGATTCAGGTTAAAATGTGTTTTAAATCTGCACCACTGCTTTTTGTCATGAAATTACCTCCCACCTACACCCTCATCTTTTTTCTACTGCAGAAACAAAAGTCTGATTTAAGCTTTTAATGAAAAGTCCTTCTGTTAATAATAAAACTAAACTACATTATTATTAATCGTATTTTTATAGTTGTTTTTATGGGTACTGTGATGAAATGTAGGAGCCCAAAAATGGTCTAAACTCACTTATGAGAACAACAAAGACTACATGTGTGTGACAGAGATGGACACAGACGCAAGAGGAAAGCATCGAGGAACAGAATGAGTGAAGGTGGATGAAATTCATGGGATGAACCATCCACAGCAATGGACAGTGGACAAGAGAGGTGAAGATGAGACTGCAGGCAGGGTGGAGTGGGTGGAGATGTCAGAGGTTATTTGTGACAGAAAGATAGTAGCAAGAATAAAAGGAAAGGTTTACAAGATAGTAGGGAGACTTGTGATGTGTGATTTGGAGATGGTGGCACTGACAAAAATACAGGAGACTAGAGCTGGAGGAAAAGTTGAAGATGTTAAGATATTCACTGAGGGTGACCAGGTTATTAGGAATGAGTGGGACAGCTCAGGACACAAGGTTAGAGAGCCGAGATGTAGATATCTTGGACGTGTACAGAGGAAGGACAATATGGAGCACCAGGCAGAAGGGAAAGACAAAGACCACAAGAAGATCAGAAGATCCATGAATCTTCTCTGATCCACAAATCTACAGAAAACATTTATGGATGTAGTTAAGGAGGACGTGCAGACTGTTCATGTGAAAGAACAGGAAAGATAGGGTGAGATTCAGGCAAATGATCGACCTTTGGCGACCCCTAGAGGGAGCGGCTGGAAGAAAAAGAAGCTTTTAAAATATCGGAATTTTCATTTATGTTTTTAAGCGCAATTTTTAATTTTTGTATACTTTAAAAAATCCATTAAACAATTCTTCTATCATTGCTGTGCAGATTATATAAAATTTTTAGACTATACCCTTTTATTCATCTCACCTTGTCTGCAGCGATGCACAATTCGGCCGCTAGGTGGGAGTAACGTCACAGCTTTGACAAACGATAACTTCCGAATAAAAAAGGAGAAAAAAAGGAAGGAAGCAGCAACAGCAAACCGCCAGCACTGACCTCACGTGAACTTAAAATGTCGTTTACAACTTCACAGGCAGTTCAGAAGTAAAGAGAGAGGTAGTAGCCGTTTCAGTCAGCGGAAACAAGGAAGTGAGCAGCTGACTGCCTTCCAGTTGTTCTCTGCTGCCGCTGGTAAGACTTGTTCACTTTAACGCTTCGTGTTGTCTCGTCGCGGCGGAGCCGTGTGTTCGGAGAAAGTGTGGGTGTGTGTTTTCTTTTTGTTTGCTGGACTTTGTAGAAATGAAGAAAAGCAGCGCAACTTTTTGTACCTGGCGTGTACGTGTGTGAAGGGTGCTGAGTGGTGGGCAGGCTGACGCACTGATTTGTGCGTGTATTTCGTTTCTCTGTGGAGCCACGTTCCGATTTTTAAACCTCCAAAAGCCTCATTCATTGTTTTTGAAGCGAAAGCGGAGGGAGACCTGTAGTGTTGGTCCCTGTTGAGGTGTGTAAAACATTTAGAGAGCGAGGGGTTTGCTATTGTGCAAAAGCCATAGTATCAGAACTCATCTGAACCATTTCCTGAACATGAATTCAATGTAAAACACACTGCAAAGAGACTAGGAACACGTGTGTGTGTGTGTGTGTGTGTGTGTGTGTGTGTGTGTGGCTTCTAACAAGGCGAATACTTGTGTCCAATGAATACGGAAATCGTTATTTTTCGTTATTCTAAACACAAAAAATGCTTGTCTTTATTTTTGTTTACTTATTTATTTATTATTCAATTTATTTTCGAACTATTTTGATTCAGAAGTTGAAAAAAACAAGTCAGCTGTAAACAAAGATCACAACTATTATCAGTCGGTCCTCCGTTTGAGCATTTGGAGCACATCCTCTTGTGAAACTCTTGTGAAAAAAAGGAATAAAAAAGAAAAACGATCTACACAAAACCCTTCACCTAATTAAACGCTACCTGGTTCACAACAAACTATTGTTCTAACTGATGGTGCTCAACAGATCCGCATTTTTTACATCGCTATAAAAGGATCTATTGACTCCAGACTTACCTGGAACAGTAATCAGTTGTTTTTGTCTTGGCTTTGGCCTGGTACGTGTTACAGGGATTGGTAATGTGGATAGACAGGCTGTTTTAAAAACATTTCATTAGGCTTTTTTATATTCTTTCATCTTAAGTGAAGAAAATGGCCTAATGAAATGTTTTTAAAACAGCCTGTCTATCCACATTACCAATCCCTGTAACACGTACCAGGCCAAAGCCAAGACAAAAACAACTTAAGAAATGTTGGCCACTCTTTATGTATTTTCATTTTCAGACTGAACCTAATCATCACGTGCTATAACTTGTCTGATTTTGTAATAATAAAACAAAGCTTTTGTTGAACTCAAATTAAAGTCAAAACTGTATCAACACAGTTGGGTCAGGTCACGATTACAAAAACAGCCCTGCTGTACTTACCAACTGTATATCATATATTAAAAGACTTTGAACATTTAAAACTGTCTGAGAGCTGAGCTCTTGTTTGGGATGCATTCTCTTCTTGCTAACTGAGATGAGTTGGACTTGATGAGCATAAAATCTGAACATCATCTTTGAACACAAAGCTTTTGTTATTTTTAAGCATCTCCTCATGTAGAGAGAGTAGGTTTATTTCAAATCACACATTTCTATAGTAAATAGTTGAAAAACATGAACTTTTAATTGTTTGTCTAATACTTTAGCGTTGTATATGTGACCATAGGTGAGCTCTTTATCAGTAGAAAGAGCTGTAAAAGTAATAAAAATACAGTGAACAGTCCAAAATGTCTGCCCTCCTGCACACTTTCCAAAGCCAGCCAGTTTTTGCTGTGCTGCCTCTGGCCCCGGGCCTTATGTTTGACACCCCTGCTCAACCGGATTCAGTGTAATGTAGCCACACAGTTCTTTAAATGTAAATTGGACTAATCATAGGTACTTAGTTTTATAATCAGCTGTGTGTCGAACTCTTTAGGATTCCTCTGTCCTCTCACCCCTAAAGCCATTTTCAGAGCTTTTTCCTTTATGAGAGGTAAACCAGTAAAGCTGCGTAATAGTGGAAAAATCAGGTTGTGTATCTTTCAACCTAACATAAATGAACCTATTAGTTTACAGAGGTCGTGTGTCCTGCGGTAACACTCTGATAAGTGTATGTAAGTAGTGGACCTTTATACTGGCAAGCCTTTTATGGGCTCTTTTTTCCCCCCAGTGAAGACAATTTGTATTTGCATGCAAAGCTAATTGTGTGCTCAGTGCATAATAAATGTATAATCTTGTAGTGGCCGCTGTACCTGCTGATCCACTGGCTGTGTCATAAAAACGTCACACGCATGTTATCTAGCTCTCCACGGTGATATATTTCAGGGCTGATGTTCACCTGCGCTTCAACAGGAGACTTTATTAAATATAATAATTAACAGCTTTGTTAATGATTTAGTTGTTAACAACTTTTGGAGAACAATAACCTTTTCTTTGGACCATCTCAAAAATTATGCTTCAGTGACTCAGTAGTTTTTTGTGTTTAATAAAAGGGAGCCAATAACTATTCAATCAGTCCACGGAAAACAAATAGTCCAGCCGCACATTACGTCTCTGTATTTCTCATTTGATAGCTAATCACAGAATTGCTGATGGCTAAATTGAACTAATGACTGACTCCTCCCCGTCATTATTGCGACACAGGTGAACTGTGGCAGATTGTCTCAAAGGTTAAAAGCCTTTTATTGGAGCCCTGTTGCTGATCTCCGGTGCTGCTGTGATGAGATGACTAATCCCCCCCGGACAAGGAGCTGCAGGTGACAGCTGGGAATGTTATAATTTAGCTGCCTAATTTATTTATGGGCGAGCAAGGTTTTTATTTTTCCAGGGGAACAAAAGAACAGGCAGACTGGAGAGAATGCTGTTGTCATTTTTGTGTGTGGTGCTTTTGTTTATGTCTGTTTGTTCTGCTTTATAGAGAAACATTAACTAATGCGACTTCAGTGGAGCTTTGGTGGTACTGACAGATACAAGATTTCTATTTAGTTTAACAACAGAGAGTGATGCTCTAAAGTTCAATAAATAAATGAAATACTCTCACTTGCCACTGTATTAGGTACACCTTGCTTGCCCCCCCCCCCCTTGCGCCTCCAGAACTGGCCGACTCCATAATAGCATAGATTCAACAGAGATTTTGTTCCATATTGTCGCGATGGCATCACACAGTTGATACAGATTTATCATCTGCACATCCAATTTCCTTTCCTCCGCATCTGCATCTTGCTATATTGGATTGAGATCTGGTAACTCTTGCAGTCAAAACATACACTTATTGGATGGTCTTTATCCCACAGCAAGATGTTATTTCTCTTATAATCCCAGCAAAATGCTTCAAAAGGCAAGCTCCAATACCCAGATCAGATGGAGAAGTTTGTTTGCTTGTGTGAATGGGTGTGATCGGGTGAATGTGGCATGTTGTATAGAGCGCTTAGAGTACTCCGGTAGAGTAGAAAAGTGCTATATAAGAATCAGTCCATTTACCATTTACCAAAAACCCTCCAGAGTCTGAGGTTCCTTTCCTCAGGGTAGCTCAGTGTCCCTGCCACAATATTAAGTTAAGTTTGAAGTTAAATAAATGTTCTACTCTATTTTTAAATTTTCAGGATTTATGTAATTTATATTTAACACACTCACTCATCTCACACAAGTCTTATTTTGTTGCCTGTTAGCCATTTATTAAATCTAGACATAGGTGGTAAGCAGCGGCATTGCTTACTACCGATGTGTACGCACCGTGGATACCTCATGAATGCCAATCCAATCTTCAGTGTGCACTATACCTTGAAATATTGTAATGGCAGTGGTGCTAAGTCATGTTTAAAAGAAAGCTGATAGCAAATGCACACGCTGCTCTCACTGAGCCTTTGCTCAGGCCCTGCCCAGTTATTTATATTAGAATAACTCTAGAATCTGGAATGCTAATTAAAACTTGAACTGCTGTGAAGTGTTTGCATTCAGGTGTTTCTGGTCGTCACGCTATATTTCGCTCTGTTCTTTAACTCTGTCTTACTGGTGGCGTGCTAAAGGTCATGACCTTGGTGTAACAAAGACTGAATGACCTCAGGGTCACTGTCGGTTACTCACAGCAGTTATAGATGTTTATTTACAGTTTATATCCGTTAGAATTCTTTGACCCTCTGGCCAGCAAGAAGGGCTTCCACTTGCTTTACTGCGACCTGTCATCGCCTCAGAGGTCAGTAATGATAAGTTATCTTTGGGCAGTGGCTGGCCTCCCAACTCCCTGCCTTGAACTCCTCCCCTTTTAGTTTGTGTGTTGCAGAAGAGGACACTGTTATTTCTGGGTACCAAGGTTAGCCAGGGTCACGTGTGGGATTCAGCTTACGCCCGTCCTGGCTGAAAGTCCAGGACATGGGAGGGATGTGTCTGCTCTTCAGCAGCCAAAGCATTTAACTGCCACTAAAATAATCTGCTCCGCATGTTGAGTGGAAGTGACTTTAAATAAGCTCTTAGAGTCATTCAAAGACTGTGGGGCGCGTGCAGTTGGCTTATGTGCCATCACTGAGAGCTGATATGATCTGCCTCGTCTGTTCCCGACGACTTTTCCCCTGGAATCAGCGGTTTGGTACGGGTGGATGGGTAAGCATGGCAGTGGTGTTTATACCGATGAGAGACGAGTAATATAGATCTGGGTTTGTGTTCTGTTTGTGGACATAACAATCTCATACATTAGCAAGCTTCTACTTTAAGCTTGGCTTCATTTCACGTATGGCTCATGGGTTTTGGCTCAGCTAAGAGGGTGTGACACATCAGCTTTGCGTCCTTATTGTGTGGTCTCGGGTAACATAACAGATAAGCCGTGGCCCTACAGATGCTTATTATATCAAAATGCTTAGGCTGCAAGTCTTAACAGTTAAGCAACTGCTTTCACTATGGCTAGGCCACTTTCTTCTCACCTGAGCCACAGGTGATGGGACTGTATCCTCACTGTCTGTCTGACTTAATTCACAAAGGTATAATGACCAAGTATATGTATATGAAAGTCGTAAACAGAAGTTTCAAAGCGAGCACTTTCATTCTGCGTCTTTTATTCTGATAAATCAGCTTTTTTTTTTTTCTTAAATAAACTGTCAAGTCAACTGTAATTAACTCCTTTTTTCCTGCA